AGCTGCCAGCCTGCTCCCGGGAAGAGTGGTAGAGCTGGGGGGCATTGGGTGGCTGGCTCGAGCTGTGCCGGGTGCAGGGTCTGCTAGCTGGGTGCTGGCAGGCTTGCACCTGGCACGGGCACCGTAGCCAGCCCGTACCCCTTTAAGGGGTCAGGGGCCGGGAGGGGGGCAGTAGAGTTTCCCTGGTGTTGGCCAGAGTGGCCACCAGAGAAACTTGGGGAGGGCTAGCCTCCCACTAGCTCGAATTAAGGGGCTACACACCCCTTTATTCGAACTAGCTAGTTCGATCTAGGCTTAATCCTCGTGGAATGAGGATTACCTAGTTCGAACTAAGCTCTCCGTTTGTTCGAATTAAATTTGAACTAACGGCGCGCTAGTGTAGCGCCTATGAAAGTTAGTTCGAACTAACGTCCGTTAGTTCGAACTAACTTTGTAGTGTAGACATACCCCCAGAGTGAGAAATGTGGCAAACTGTGCAATTTCCCCACGCTCCCTGCCAAAGGGAAACAGCCAGCCATGTCCCCATATGAACTGTTGTGGGGAGCGGTTACACATTTACAAAAAAGCCCACTGTTGAACAAGCCCAGAAGCAGTATATGGAATTTTTTCGTAGCTCTTACCATTGAGGAGGAGTCCTTCAACAAACAGACTCACAGATGGAGAGACAGATTCACAGATTGAATATAGACAGATATGATACATCCGTACTTCTGACTTGAGCTGTGCATCTGGCTGACACCCCCAGACAGCTTAGCATCAGCACTGCCTATCCCGTTTGATGTCTCATAAAGGCTCATGTGCAGTACAATGAACCCATGGAAAGGATCCAGTGAATACACCTTATGAGTCAGCAAGACATGGAGGATCTGCCTGTGGCCTGAGAGCTCTAAGTCTTTTCTGTGCCTTCAGCTATGAACTTGTGCTTGGAAGAAAGAACGTACAAGCCAGGCAGTAAAAGAATATAGAAAGTAGCTTCATCTTCTCCATTTAATCTTCTTCCCAGCTCAGCTTGTCTGTGGAGTAACTGTTCACCAAAGGAAGCTCTGAACAAAGGACGGAATGACCCATCCCAGCTATGGACGTGTTCCAGAGGGACTTTCAAATTACCAAACTTGCCAGTACTGCTCAGAACCTGCTACATGAACTCTGATATCTCTGTAGATATCTAAGGTCATGTCTACACAGCAGGGCTAAAGGCCACATAAGCTATATAACATCAGCTATGTCAATTGTATAGCTCAAGTTGAATTAGCTTATTTTGGCTTTTTGGCACTGTCTACACAGCGGGAAGTTCGATTTACAGCACTCTTTCTCCGATTTCCTTACTCCTCGTAAAATGATTGTTACAAGAGTCAGAGTAAGCAGTCCTCTAACTTGACAGTTTTTCGACATTATGTTGAAATAAAGGCTTGTAGTGCAGACGCCGACTATGTTATTTCAGAACATCAGTTGATGTACCCTAAGTATTTTACCATTTTTGTTATTTTTGACATAATAAACCTTTAGTTTGAGACAAGAAAGGATGGGCTAGCAGTGTGTTATTTTGAGTAAGATGCAAACTTACATTGACCTGGAAACATGATCAACCCTTTGGAGTCAGAAGAACATTTTGTGTATTTGAACAATGTTTTAAAATAGTTTCTCACTGTACTGGACTGAGGTGCTGACTGAGAGCCAAAGAACAGGCCTGAAATGAAGGGGGCTGTGAGATTTCTTTTTTCAGTTTGGGTATGTCTACACTTGCCCCCTACTTCGAAGTAGGGAGGCAAATGAAGCATACTGAAGTTGCAAATCAAGCCCGGGATTTAAATATCCCGTATTTGATTTGCATGTTCCCGGCCATTTTAGAAATTCACTAGCCCAGAGTAACTGCCCGTGTCTACAGGCAGCAGTGAAACGGGAGTCCAATTTAGAGCCCCTAATTTGAATTAGATGGTAAACCTCACTGCAGGAGGAATACCAGATAATTCGAGTTAGGGCTTTAAATCGGACTCTCGTTTACTGCTGCCTGTAGACGCAGGCAGTTACTCCGGGCTGGTGAATTACTAAAATGGCGACTGGCCGGCAACATGCAAATCAAGCGCGGGATATTTAAATCCCGGGCTTGATTTGCAACTTCGGCATGCTTCATTTGCCTCAAAGTAGGGGGCAAGTGTAGACATACCTTTTCATAATAACCACTGTGGGGATCAGAACACAGTTTGTGACTGGTTAGTGAATTTAATTTCAGTGTTACCAACCAGTTTGGGGAATATCTGTTCTCCTTTTTGCAGCCTGCCCTGACCTTGGCTTTTACAGTGAGGGCTGCCCCAGGCACATTGGGCCATGAATAGAGCACATGAAGTTATGGACTCTTTCTAAGTAAGAAGGTATAACAAGTAATAAGAATGTATCACAGGGTTATAGGGAACAAACTCTGTTAGCAGATATTTTTTTGTTTGGTTATAAGTGGAAGGTGCTGTAAGAATTGTAACACACTGAGCGTTACACAGGGCTTTGTGAGCAGATCCTGTCCATGTGTGGGTGAGGGCGAGTGTGTCTAGACTACATCTCTCCGTCGACGGATCCATGTAGATAAGTTTACTAGACATAGGAAAATGAAGCGGTGATTTAAATAATCGCTTCTGCATTTACATCAAAATGGCCACCGTGATGTACTGATCAGCTGATTGTTGGCACAGCGCGGTAGTTTGGACGGGGTCGGCCCATCCCAGAACCGTTTGTCATCAGATCCTGTAAGACTTGTTTCATGAGGAATAAAGGATCTGATGACAAAGGGTTCTGGGGTCGGCAGATCCCGTCTAGACTACTGCGCTGTGCCAACAATCAGCTGATCGGCACAGCGCGGTGGCCATTTTGATGTAAATGAAGCAGCGATTCATTTGATGTAAATGAAGGGCCAGGGCAGACAAACAACCGCATACAAAGGAATCCAATGCATCAGGGAAGGGCAGACAAATAACCAGTGGCAAATTTTTAAAGTGCTTGTACACAAATGCTAGGAGTCTGACTAATAAGATGGGTGAACTAGAGTACCTCATATTAAATGAGGAGATAGACATAATAGGCATCACTGAAACCTGGTGGAATGAGGAAAATCTGTGGGACACAATCATACTGGGATATAAAATATATAGAAAGAATAGAGCAGGCCGGGTGGGTGGCGGAGTGGCACTGTATGTGAAAGATAATGTAGAATCAAACGAAATCAAAATATTAAGTGAATCAACATGTTCAATAGAATCGCTGGACAGTAATTCCATGCTCCAATAATAAGAAATTAGCAGTAGGGATATATTACCGACCACCTGACCAGGACAGCGATACTGACATTGAAATGCTGAGGGAGATTAGAGAGGCTACCAAAATAATAATGGGGGATTTTAATTACCCCCATATTGACTGAATACATGTCACCTCAGGAAGAGAAGCGGAGATAAAATTTCTCAATGGCTTAAATGACTGCTTCTTGGAGCAGCTGGTGCAGGAACCCACAAGGGGAGAGGCAATTCTCGATTTAGTCCTGAGTGGAGTGCAGCAGGATCAGCAGGATATAACCGTTACAGGACCGCTTGGGAATAGTGACCATAATATAATAACATTCAACATTCCTGTGGTGGGAAGAACACCTCAGCAGTCCAGCACCCTGGCATTTAATTTCAAAAAGGGGAATTACACAAAAAGGAGGGTAACCCATGCTCGAGGGTAACCCATGCTCCTTTAACAAAGAAGCCAGCCGGCATTTCTCAATCTCGACAGCCCTCGGCACCGCAGCCGCAGCCGGCACCGGGGCTTCTTAAAT